ATCTTCGAAAGCTTATGGGGTCCCTTGTGCCGATGCAGTCGTCACGGTGGATTCAGACCAATTGAGATTGAAACTTAAGCCCCGCGGCATTGAGATGAAGCCATGCAGCTTGAGTGAACTGTTCGTCGCGCTCGGGAACGTTCTCGAGGCCCTTGTAGTCCTCCATCGCAACGGGTGGATGCACAGAGACATCCGTTGGTCTAACGTGATCAAGCATATCGACCGCGTTGAATGGTTTTTGATCGACTTCGCTGATGCAGCTCAAAGTCCGCAGAAATATCCCAGCGACGATCACTTGACGCACGACGAACACGCTTCAGACATTTTTATGGAAGGTGGATCCCACACGACTGCGGTTGACTTATGGGCCGTGGGATACCTGGTGAAGACAAGTAAGATTGAACGGGAATGGACTGCGGAGCCCGAAAGAGCGCTTTTCCTAGATCGGTTGATGAACCCAGACCCGAGTGCTCGGCCGACGGCAGACGAAGCCTTACAGCTTCTGTCACGTTTTGAACGTGAAGCTGCTGAGCAGGAATCACAGGGCAAGGGTGTGCGCAAGAAGCACAGACGTGCCTGAATTTTTACATCGCTATGGCACTACCATTACGCGCTGGGACGAAGTACTATGGTACTAACAACAGGAGTAGTCGATGAATGAGCAACACACGTTTTTCTCATACATACTTCGAATGTATGAGTGTGAAGTGTGGAGGAAGAGCCAGGACTGCGTCCAGCTCAAACCTGAGGCTCAGGTGCCTCCAGGACGCGATGCTCGCGTCCAGAAGCCGGACTTCGACGGACCATTGGCTGGCGAGCCGCCAGCCCCATCCTACTGCTAATCCTACCAATATATGTTACCGGGGTTTTTCCGTGTGCTGCTACACACTCGACAACTTGCGCCGTCAAGAGCAAGCAGCAGCACTCGGTTTTCTCCCCTGCTGGACTTTCAGTCCCTGCAACTTACTGTTGTTACGACTACTTCCTTCATCACAATGGTCACCACTCGGCGTAGCCGAGGAGCGACCATCACTCAGGTTATGAGCCCAAGAAGGAGAGCTGGAAGCCCAGTCCGGAGTACGCAGAGCTCGCGCGCGTCCGACGAGTTGCAGTTACCTGCAAGAGCAGACGAGACAACGTCAGACGAGACACATGCGACGTCACAAGCGTCATCAACCCGAGTTGAGCAACAACTCGAGCTCTTATTGGCCCAATTCGGTACCGTTATGACTACACTGACAAATCAGCAGCAAGTGCAGAACATTCCAGTGGAAGCATCCACCCGACGCCCACAAAGGCAGCTCATTCAAGAATTCTCAGCGGCTCGAGCACAACCGCAGCGAGTGCCGACGCCGTACGGGCCCCGCCGAGGAAACCCAAGCACAGAGGAACTTACCGCCGACGCCAGCACGCGTCAGAGCGAGCCGCCAAGAAACCCAAGAACGTCCGAGGCTGCAGCGCAGCCAGTCCAGACCGAGGCCGGGACCGACTCCGCTACGGACGAACCCATGGTTGGAGACCACAGATGCACGCGGTGCATGAACCAGAGCGGACACGTGCAGTTGAACGCAAGACTTACCGATACCAACTACCAGACGTGGCGCGTCGAGATTTGCTCCATTCTCGACGTCGCACACCTCTTGGACCCCATCATGGAGCGCGAAACGATGGCAGACCAACGTAACGAAGGACAGCGCGGCTGTTTCAAGCAACGACTGCGTGTTGCTCAACGTGAACTTACGATGGGACTTAGTCAAGAGCTACAGATGCGATTTACAAGTGTTATTCAACGTGCTGATCCTATCCTACTGTGGCGAACACTGGAAGATCATTTTGATAACCATCCTGGAGTAAACAGCGTGTTTCTCAAGCGAGATATGCTGAATCGTCGCCTGCAACGTGACGAACGACTTGACGATTACATTCGTGACATCGACGACTACCAACAGAGACTTCGCCGCGCGAACAAGCAGCTGCCTGAGCAGGAAGCCGTCTCTATCCTATTGTCGAATACAGTGGGTGTGTACCCAGCGGTGGTAAAGGAGCATGAAGTACGTATTGGACGTGATGAGTCCATTACGTGGGAGCAAGCGATCGAGCGCCTTCGACTCGCTGACCACTCACGCCAAGAGACTGAGCTACAGCAAGGACGTGGTGGAGGTAGACGTGCCGTCCAGCGAGATGTTGCATTTGTTGGTGGCCGTGGCGACGGACACAACGACGGAAGAGGACGTCGAAACTCGAGCAGCAGCCAAGCACGAGGCAACAACAACCGCAACAATCGTCGCAGCCGCAGCTCATCGCCGCGTGGGCGGAACAAGCGGCAGAAGAGCAAGAGCTCATCCAGTGCGAGGGATGACATCGCCAAGCGAAAGGCGAAGACGAAGTGCAACACGTGCGGAGAGCAAGGACATTGGAGTGGCGATCCTGAGTGCCGCCAGCGTGGCAACAATAACAATAACAACAACTCGAGCAACCCGCCGCGCAGGATGATCGATGTGGTTACTGTGAAGACAGCCAAGTCGGCTGCACCGACTCAAGCTGAAGGACAAGAGCATGTACTCGCGGTGCGTGACAACTTCAACTACAAGGACAAGGACAAGGACCAGGACATGGTGGAGTGGGTGTTGGATAGCGGCGCGCAGACCAACGTCTCGAGCGACCTTACCTTGTTTACGGAGCTACACGAAGACTCAGTTGCAGAACTAGTCTTCGGCAACGGCACAACCGAGCGCGCAACTGTAGGCACAGTGCTTATGCAAGTGCTGAACGAGCACACGGGCAAGATCGAGGAGCGCCTCCTTGATGACGTGAGCTACGCCAAGTCGGCTGCCTACAACCTGATCTCGCAGACCTACATGCAATTCAAAGGAAACTTCAAGGTGCGCATCTCGCATGATCAGAAGACTACGTGGCTGGTCAAGGACACATTGAAGCTGCGCTTCAAGTACATCCGCGGGATGTACCGCATGTGGACGCCACGTCAGAGCAAGAACGTGATGAGCGTCAAGGCCAGTGAAGCTGAGAACCCCATGACGTTGCTGCACAACCGCATGGGCCACGTAAACATGGAGACTATCAAGACTATGGCAGGAAACTATAAATTTTTGTGTTGGGACACCAAAAGGCCTATCCAAAAAATTTTGCTCCCCCCAGGAAAGGCCTTTCCCGGTCTTAAAAATCCAGAAAGAAAAGCCAAGTAATTAAAAGCCCCAGGCCTTCTCGCTTCGGCCAAAGCCCTTGGGAAAAAATTTTGGTGTTCGCCACCTCAGGCTGGGGTTGGGGGAGGGGAAAAACAAAATAGCAAAACTCAAACCGTTTTCTCATTGTATTTTAGCAACAAAATTCAGCAAAAAATTAAATGGGGGGAATATCTATTAGCCTACAAAGACGAAGTCACGGAGCTGATTCAGAAGCAGATTCGCTGGATCCAGAACCAGTTCCCGAAGGCGACCATCAAGACGCTGTTCTCCGATGGTGGTGGCGAGTTCGTCAACATGCAGCTCGAGACCTTCTGCAAGGACCTCGGCATCGACACGCGTTCATCCAATCCCTACAGCCCGCAGGAGAACGCTATCGTGGAGCGCACGAACCAGACCGTCATGCGGCAGGTCAGATCTATGTTACAAGCTACGCAAATGCCTGTTTCATTATGGGGAGAAGCCTTCCTACATGCAATTGAGACGCTCAACAAGACGCCGACGCCGGTGTTGAAGGACCAGCAGTCCCCGTACGAGGCCCTGTACGGAGAGCGGCCAGACCTCAGCGTGCTGCGCACGTGGGGGTGCTTGGTGCACGCGCACATCCCTGATGATTCTCGGCAGAGAAAGGAGAAGCTCACTCCAAGGACGCAGATGTGCTTACTACTTGGCTACAGCGAGAAGGCCAAGGGCTATAAGCTGCTGAACTTGCGCACAGGATCAGTGACGACGTGCAGAGATGGAAACATGAAGGCACATGAGAAGTACACGGTAAACACTGTGTATATTGAGCAACTTCTTGCAAACACCTACGCTTACGGAGACTACGACTTACCTGCGGAGATCCCGATCGTGCCGATCCGGACGACAATGTCTACGTACCTGCAGCTTCCTGCAGAGCTTGCAGAAAGGCGAGCAGCGGAGATGGCGAAGCTGGCCACTGCTGGTGAGAGCCATGACCAAGGTGTTGAAGTTGAAGCCGAGTCTGCGACTCGAAGTGATGACCCACAGCTACCAAGCGAGGACGCTAAGAAGCCAGCAGCTTCAGTGGGAGGTTCCAAGCGGAA